GGCAAAGGACCAGCTTAAACCAGCATCCCAGCGTCAAAACATACCTAACCAGCATATGCTGTTTTTTTCAACAGGGAGAGAAGCTCAAATGTGCTTGCTTGATCATGTAAAGCGATTGTGTCTTCTCAGAAGACTTAAAGTGCTTAATTCATATAACTTGAAACAACGTGGCATTGAGTAATTGATGACAATTTTCATTTTTGGCTGAACTGTCCGTAATTCACAATGAGTACTTTATTGCCTCATTAAATACATTAAGTACACAGTCTTGTACCTTTGGGATTTTTGGGATTGAAATCCCTACAGACAATTTTACTGAAAAAAATATTTCCAGAGCCAAGGCAGCTGTTCTATTGCTATAAAAAGATAAAAAGTTACACACCTTTTGTGGGATCTGGCCAAGAGCAGAAGCAATAGTGTTTGCTCTTTCCATTGTCAGGTTGCCGATCATGGAACCCAATGAGAACACAATGATGCCATGATCTCCTGAGCTCTGAACAAACTCCTCCAGTTCCTAAAAGACATATAAAAAACTCACTGTGAAGCTCATATGGTCGGTGACGTGATCATGCAAAGCGCCTGCAGGAACATAGGAAGGTGGTGCACACATCAAAGCCGCTCGAAAGTATACACAAATGTCAAGTGCAGCGACAGGAAGTATGGGATATTCAGTGTCTGTGCCATCTGTGCATCTGTGCAAACATTACAATTACAAACGTAATGTAAAAATTCAGTTAAATTATTGCCCTGACATGTTTTTTCCCCTATATATACAGGTGCATCTCAATAAATTAGAATGTCGTGGAAAAGTTCATTTATTTCAGTAATTCAACTCAAATTGTGAAACCATTAGTGACTTAAAACTGAACTGATTTTCTATCAGAAATAAGCTATAATGGTCAAAGTATGCCACGTGCAGTTTACAAAATGGGACTGACACTGCAAATCCACAGTATCTTTTGAGGTCAACGTAGTGTGGGATTACAAATTTAAGATCTGCTGATCCTACATCTTGATCTAACAGCACATGAAAAACTAAGGTGAACTATATTGTATTGGGCATTCAAAGTGAATGTGATGAACATGTTCAGCATCAGTTTACTGATTCGGAATATAGTTTCCAGTGAGGTGGTTTTGGCAGTTTTTTTTCCTTCCTATTTAGTCAAACTATGTGTGAACGTTAACAGGTCTATAGTTTTAGTGACTAGGTGGCGCTTAAAACATGTGGTGATCATGTTATGGTCTAGGTATGCTGGTGCTCACAAGGCTTTAGGCCATTTGATGTAAATTAGGTCTGTTTGAGCTCTCAGTTGGGGTACATTTTCTCACCTCTGTTTAACCCCTGGGTGTAAGACCAGATCTGGATAAAGACTGCCAACTATAAAGTACAATGTATGCCTGCCATAGTCAGACGTTGATGACTGCACTGCCACATTAAATGTTAGGAGCTAAATGAAATCCCGCTCCATACATAAATCCACAGGTATGAAGTTACAATATTACTTGATTCATTTAAGTAAGGATTGATGCAATGATGTAAAAGAACAAAATATATAAAGGCATCAAGTATATTTCAGAAGAGCAGATATTTCAAAACAGAAAGCAAAGCAAAGTCATTACCTTCGACAGAGGCTTGGCAGGTTTACAGTGTAGTCCTCCAACAAATTTAAAATTAGGCAGGAGTGGGCGTGGATACTCAAAATCCCAGTAAGTTCTAATCAACCAGATGTCGGCTTTTCCCATGGTCTCACACATGGTTGTGGGTTTTCCTGTGACATACGGAGATACAGTGCCACTCAGTTGATGTACAGTAGATCAAGTGTTCAAAAATATTGCTTTCTTCTGCTTTGTCTACAGTCTTCTTGTCCTGATCTCTTTCGATACACACTTCAGTCCATGAGTGTGCCTGCACTATACACTATACTGCAATAAAGATTATGTTCCAGGTATACAGTCATCTACAAGAGCTTAAAGAGTGCAAAAACCCAGAGCTGTTGGACCATATAATAAATATTATTTATTAAACAACTTGAAAAAGAAAAATGCTACTTGTTGATTTGCAGCCTGTCAGCTATTTAATATTTTTGCTTTCTTTTGCTTTATTTACAGCAGCCTTCATGAATACTCAAGAAAACTGTAAATAAAGGTATTTTTAAATCCATTTGACAAAATAGTCAGGTTCAAGCATTTACATGCTTATTTTTTTCCCTGTTGATTGGGTTATTTGAGGTCTACACCCCAAGCAACTAACTTTTAAGTAATCAGTTGAGTGACTGATTCAATGACTCACTCATAAAGTCATCGTCACCACATACTTGTGTATCTATGTAATCTACAGGAGTGGCTAAAAGCCCCCATCACTAATGCTTGTAATGCACAATCACAAAGAAACAGAATGATACAAATGTTGAAAAAACTATGGAAGCCCGTTTCTGCCACTGAATAAAAAATAAAACAAGGTAATTGCGACTTTTTAATCACACAATTCTGACTTTTCTTTCTCATAATTATAAATTTACATCTCTCAATTCTGACTTTGACTTTTTTCTCATAATTGCGAGATATAAACTCGCAATTCCGAGTTTCTGAGTTTTCTCTTGCAATTGCAACTTTATATCTTGCAATTCTCACTTTTATCTCACAATTGCGAGTTTACAACTCTCAATTTTGAGTTTGTTTCTCAGAATTGCGAGATATAAACTCACAATTCTGACATTTTTCTTAGAATTGCGAGTTTATATCTTGCAATTGACTTTTTTCCCCTCACAATTCACCCTTTGCTGGAAGTTTGATTGACAGGTGATCTGACCAATCAAAACGCTGAATCTGCCATTTTTTTTTCCAACAAACAAACCAGACAGGAGAGTAGATTAATGTCTATTCAATGTAGTAGATTCAATGCAGTTGAAACAAGATACCTTCTGATTGTTTATTCATGTGAAAAAATTCAACATGGAAATGGTTCGGATTTTCCACAACAGACACGGTGCAAACAACAGTTATTTGCAAATGTTGCAATGATAAGTTTCGCATGTTGGAGGGCAACAGAACAAATCTTTTTATCCACCTCAAAAGAAATCACCTGAAAGAATATGCTGCCAGTCAAATTGTGAAGGGACCCCACGTGAGTGCATCAGGCACAACCATGCAGCCAGAGGCTACAAGACTTAAACAAACAACTCTAACGAAGGAGGCATTTGAGAAGGGAACTCCATGTGTCAGGACAAATAAGAACATTTTACCTGGCCAAAGATATGATTCCCATAAAAACTGTGGAAAATGAGGGCTTCAAAAGACTGCTCAAAGTCGTAGATCTGCGTTATGAGATACCTAGCCGGAAATATTTTTCCGCCATGGCTATTCCACAACTGTATTCCGAATGTTGCGCATTGACGTGATGGAGACTGTGAAAAGAGTCCACTGAGAGACTTTACTGATGCACTCTCAGTTGACACTAGAGGTGATGACACTGCACTAACAAAAACAACCAATGAAGACAACCATTCTCAATTGATCCTTTGCCAGGAGTTTGATTGACAGACGATCTGACCAATCATAACATGGATTCTGCCATTTTTGTCCGACAAACAAACCAGACAGGAGAGTGGATTAATGTTGGTGGACTTGAACTTGAAAAATGGTGTGTACTGACGTACTGACAGTTGAAACAAGATACCTTCTGATGTTTTGCAAAGGATCAATTACCTCACTGACAATATTGAACAAACACAACCCAAGAAAGCAAAGAAACCGCTTGCCAGCTTTTTGAAAACCTCAGGTGCTGTAAGTGCATCTGCAGCAGCAAGATCAGCTTCCTCATCTCTAAAAGAGACAAAAGAAGGGAAATTTAAGGTCTGCTTGTCCACACTGAATGCAGAAAGTGAGGTGGATCCTCTGGAATGATGGAAAGTCCATGAGGCAAACTTTCTAAGAGTTAGCCAACTTGCTAGAAAGTACTTGTGCATTTCAGCAATAAGTGCTTCCTCAGAAAGAGCCTTCAGCACTGGTGACAATATTGTTACCTGCCAAAGGGCAACTCTCCAGCCAGATAAAGTCAATCAACTGGTTTTCCTCTCTAAAAATTTGTGATTGTGATCAATCATCCTTTGCATTCTTTTAGAAAGAGATATAAGTTGTATGAAGGTGAAAGTTATGTTCTAAAGTTGTTAAGTTTACAAGAGTCAGGATTCAGCAATATTTTTGGTTGGTCGGTTTTGGTTGATTGTTTTAGTTCCGAATCACATTGCACTTTAAAAAAATCTACTTACAATACAATACAATAAGCAAATGTTTATTTTGGGAGCTATGCTAAAGTCTCTGACTGTACTTACATTTATTTAACCAGACCAAGTTCATATTTTTATTTAAACATTTTTATTTAACCTTAATAATATCTATTTGTTTATTCTATACTTTTGATGGTATCTTAAAAAAAGTAGAAAGGGAAAAGAAAATGCTGACATGGGTTTTGCTGAGGACCGGTGTCTAATAAGCTTATCTGAGTGCTACAGCTGTTGCCAATGTTTAAACCAATGTTCATTTTGTGATGAAAAGTCTTTGATTGTAACTGAATGCAAATCTTGTTGAATTTTCTTACTTTGCAGAATTGCACTTGCATTAAATCTACACTCGTTTAAAATATGCTTGAAAATGTACCTAAATGGTCTATCTTTTATGTTATTTTTTAAGGCTATATTTTTTCAATGGGAATATTTCCTTATGAAAATGAACCATGGTTTTACTACAAATTAAACCAAAAAACCATGGTTACTATATTTAAACCATGGTAACCACAAATTAATCATAACCATAGTTTATCTGTCACGGTTCACACACACAAGGAACACGGGAACGAAGGAGTGAGGAGACACGGAGTAAAGTAACTCAAAAGGGTTTATTAAACAAAGGCTGGGGATCACAGGACTTGACACATCAGGATGACGTTCAACGACTGACAAAGGACAAGAACTAGAACACACTTTAAATACACAGGAACTGATGAGGGGAAGACAAGGGACACCTGGAACTAATGACAATTAACATTGGAAACACCTGGGAACAATTAATTCAAAGCATGAGACAGAAACTGGATGACGGAGCACATAGGGAGCAAAGACGCACACAAAACCTGTCGGGGGGAAAAGGCGTGGTCGGCGAACTTGTGTTGAACGTCTGACGGGCTTGCCACATTAATGTCAGGTGGGCTTGCCATATGCGTGACTAGCGGGCTGGAGATAGCCCCGGCTGACAGGCCTCCCATCGGCCTGGCCAGCGGGCTGGAGAAAGCCCCGGCTGGCGCTTGACAACGGCGCGGCCGGCACACTACACAGAAGGGCGGTCTTCGTACCGCGGAGACAAACAGGGGAGAAAAAGGAAAACCAAAAGACTGTTCAAAAAACGAAAACAAAACACGGAAGAAGGAGCGCCGCTTACTGTTTTGGGTCAGTCGTTCTGTCACGGTTCACACACACGAGGAACACGGGAACGAAGGAGCGAGGAGACACGGAGTAAAGTAACTCAAAAGGGTTTATTTAACAAAGGCTGGGGATCACAGGACTCGACACATCAGGATGACGTTCAACGACTGACAAAGGACAAGAACTAGAACACACTTTAAATACACAGGAACTGATGAGGGGAAGACAAGGGACACCTGGAACTAATAAGACAATCAACATAGGAAACACCTGGGAACAAAGAATTCAAAACACGAGACAGAAAAACTGGATGACGGAGCACATAGGGAGCAAAGACGCACACAAAACCTGGCCCAGAGTCTGACATTATCCATGGTATTTGAAGTAAAACTGTGGTTATACAAATGGTAATCAATACGCCAAAAAAACATGGTTACTACACTTTTACTACAATAAAACCGTGGTTAATTTTCTTAAGGGTTATTTTGGCTGTACTGTACAGCTCAGTAATTTACAAAATAGCCTTTAGCCATTATATGTGTATGTGCGCAAAGTACATTTGTTTCTGTATATATAACTTAATTTGGGCTTAAAAGTTGAAATGTACAGAGAGTTGATGGGTATGTATCTGAATATAGACGAATATCAAACTTTACAACAAATACTCCAGTGCTGCTGCAAGTTGTTTGCTGATGATTCAGTTAACAAGGTAACACATTTCAAGTCTCTGAGTCTGGTTACAACAGTGTTGGGGAAAGTTACTTTTAAAAGTAATGCATTACAATATTGCGTTACTCCATAAAAAAGTAACTAATTACGTTACTTAGTTACTTTTTATGGAAAGTAATGCGTTACGTTACTTTTGAGTTACTTTTTAAATCTGGACAGGGCTTGCTTGTTTGTTTTTAAAATAAAAAAGTTATATTTTTGGCAAATATAGAAGCCTTTTCACACCAAAAGTGAAATGAATAAGCCTCAGGCTGAAGGGAAAGTAAATTTACGTCCGTACAGTAGAATGCAGAAGAAGAAATTTCAACAAACTTCAGCAATAAAAAAACACACACAAATGTTTGTCTAGAGTAATTTTTGCTTATTAGTATGGTTGAACTGGATCATCGAAGGTCAGAAGCAAAGACATTGGTTAATAGAATGGGATTAAATACATAAACGATATTTGTGTTGTTTAACATTTAATTATTGCAGGTTTGCGTCATATTCTGAGTTGCATTATTTTTATTCATTTTGAGGAATAATGAATCTGTGTTTTTTTTGAGTGAGATGAATTAATGCATATTCATATTTATTTTAGAACTACAGTAACATCTTGATTTCTCTCAACATGGGGACAGGAGAGCTGTCAATCAAACTGGAAAAAAAGTAACGTGCGTTACTTATTTGAAAAAGTAACTCCGATATTCTCTAGTTACTTGAAAAAAGTAATCTGATTACTCGTGTTACTTGAAATGCGTTACCCCCAACACTGGGTTACAATAAATTAAAACTTGACTTTACCGACTAGAACTTTATAGCTAAACTAGAACTCAGTCAATTTGTCCACAACATAAAGACGTGAGAGAACAATCAACATTTGTGAACCATTGACATCCGTGGACATCTTACCTAATACTTCACTGTAGTAATTATCCAAACTCATCGAGGCCATCCGAAACGCGAATGAATAAACAACATACACAATCACATTTTTAACTCTTTCCATGAAGCACATGTGATCTGTCATCTCCGTCGGAGGAACTGGTACATAAGAAGGCGGTGAGGGCATCTGTCCACACATCCTCTCCATGGAAAACCCCAGCGAAAACCGTAGAGAAAGCACGACTGGAAGATCCAGAATATTCGCCAGCAAGTCACTGCATATGATCATGGGATCATATAAGAGCACATCAAACTTTAAAGCCGTCAAGCGACTGATAAGCGTTTCGCTACGCAGCATGCGGTCGCACATAATCTGGTGCATTTCGCGCACTTTCCCCAACACATCCATGATCTGGAGACCGATTTGGACCATATTTGGTCTGGGATACTGCATCCAGATATTGACCAGCTGTTCGCTCAGACTGTGCACCTCGTGCGCCTTCAAAGGCACATCAAACACCAGATACTGAAACCTCTCTTGCTGTGTGAAGTTTATAGTTGGCGAGGCTGAGTTCACCAGAACCGTCACGCTGTGATTGCGGTTCAACAGTTCGCCCACAATGTTGCGCATGTTGTACCAGTGGCTGTATTCTCCCGGCAGCACAAGCACATTACCACAATGCGTAAAGCTCAAGTCACTGAATAGGACGATTACGAAAAGTGTAAATGACTTTCCCAAACGTTGCATTTTAGCACTCGTGAAGACGCAGCAGGCAACCAGATTGTTTGATATGAGCGGTTTCTCTTTAGGTTTGGATTAAGAGACCCTGGGCGTACCCATGCAGGAGGGAAAGTTTCTCTGTAAAGGGCGGCAGAGCAGGATTTTGGATTCAGGTCACGTCACGTCACGTCACATCAACGAGAGTCCGGAAACATACGCGCTATTTATAAACCAACACACTACTTTGATCACTTGTTGGTAAGATTTTGTACCTTTTTTGTACCTTGTTTTCCCCTTGCAACCCCCTGAAATGTTTAAAGAATGTTTGTTTTGTTTGTTGTTATTGTATGTAGACATATATAGGCTACTGTATATAGCCTACACACATGGACATTTATGTATGATGGAGATGTGATTGGAAAAGTGTATATTTTGTCATATGCATTTAATTGTTCCCCATTTGAGTTTGTAAATTGATATTGTTAAAAAAAAAAAACTACGATCACTTGTGAAAAAGAAGGGCGCTAATTGAGCGTAGACTATTGAATTTGAGTACTTGCAAATAATATAGTCTATATAGTATACTTAAAGAGAGTAATGTCATTGTAATAAACATTTGCAACTTCATAATTACATGTGCAATTACAAATAGGCCTAAATTCATGAGAATTAATACCAATGACATTAAATAATATTTTAGTTTAACATAAATGCTTGTCAGTACATTTGGCAGTACACTTTATAACCATATTTCGAAGATTATGAATTATGAAATTACATATAAAGCTATAGCCTACTTAAGTTCCAAGTGGGTCAAGAAAGAACTCTAACTTTCAGCTAATTGCATTTAGTATACATTTACACTATGAAACATTTTCTTTTAATTGCAATAACAATTAACATGAAATTTGTTGAAAAACATTACATTGATCTGTACAACAGCAAAAATTAATCAGGCCAAACCTGGTTCCATTGATGCCTGGCAATACCCCACATGTGAAATATGTGAAATAACTGCATGGCAAAGTGCACATTATCAGTGGTTTTATGTTTCTTGTATTGTTTGGAAAGATTGAGGCTATTCACAGTGACGTGTTATAACTAGGGATGCTCCGATCCGCCTTTTTCGCCTCCGATAGCGATTCTGATACCTAGGGTTCGGTATTGGCCGATATCGATACCGGTCCGATACCAGTGAAGTTTTTTTCCCCCATTTAAATAAATGTAGAAAGAAAGTTAAAAACTGCAAAGCACAAAGGGAAGAGAAATTGATGCGTAGTGTATTATATCTGTGCAACAGTTATTGAGCCTTTCTTTTAACAGTTTTAAATTTCAGTTACTGTGTACGTTAAAAACAATTTATAGTCTTTTCTACGCCCGTGTTTTGTTCTCACAGACACCCGGTAGCAAGTAACAAAACAACATTAAACTCCGGCAAGAAGATAAAGTCCTTTTTGCAAAATCATAGACATGTATTTACAAATCAAGTATAATGGGAACACAGAATGATCTTGGAGACTGACTGCTGTAACCGAACGCAACCAGGGTTTAAAGGCTGAACGAATGACTGACAGCCACAGCGGAGAAAAGAGTTTGTGTGAACTTTAATGTAAGGACTTAAATATTCATATGTAGCTCACATTAAGCTATTGTATAGCTTCAGAAGTAACACAGAATAATTCGCACAATCGGGAAAATATAAATAAATAAAAATCTCGGATTTGGATCGGCCCTCTCTGACAAGATATCCGATCCGAGAAAAATGGCACTATCGGAGCCGATACCCGATATGAATATCGGATTGGCGCATCCCTAGTTATAACCTCAGGTAACCTATTCAAAGTGGTTTTGGACTCTGTACAACCTTCATACTCATGTTTTTCAGTTTGTTTATTACCCAAAACTGATTATGTTGACTATATAAACTTCATATTCTTAAATGGAATGTGGCTGCATTTATGTTTGCAGAAAAATTCTGTTAGAAGTTCTTGCCAGAGCTGCCAGTTTGGTGACCCAGAATTTGTTTGCTCATATTTAAGACCATATGTGAAGGCTTTGTATTATCTAGTTCTTTGTATAAGTGTAACATGACACTGACTCAGAATACAGGAATTAAGCAAACAGTGGTATGGCTCAAAAAAGGAAAATACTGTTTCATAACTCTTGATGGAGATTTGGGTATTTCCTAATGCTTGCACAGATTGATCTTACAGCAAATATGATTTTCTTTTTCTAAATAACCTTGGTTAAATTTTGAATTAAAGTGAAGAATAGCCTTTCATAGAGGAATACAGATAATTTAAAAGGATTCATAAAGTTTTATGTTACAAAGAGACTTATAAGAGGCACTATATCTGAGGAACTGTAAGATTTAAAAGGAGTCAAAAGCTTGTTTTCTCTTAATTACTTGTGTTTTTATGTGCACAAATACTGTATGTCACACACATTAGATAAAAGTTTAAACATTGTTTTCTCCATGACAGATTTATATCCTTTATAACTATGTGAATATTTCTGAAAATCAATAAAAGAGTCCAAGGACTGGCCTGAGCTTTCTTAGCCAATCAGAGAGTACAGAATATCAATCATTTTGCATGGGTTTGCTGACATGCCTTTGCAGGGAGTGCATATTGTTGAAGTGCAAAGTTCAGAAGTGTGTTTTTCTTCATCAGTGCACCTCAATAAAGGCATATGATCACAAATGGTCAACGTGTAATTAATTAAATGTATTTTATCTAAGCCAGAAATGTGGAAATGTTCAACAGTTTTCTATAAGGTGTGTGTCTATACGCAATTTCTCTTTGAGCTGCATATAAATTTCCATCCATTTGGATTACACAGTTACAACATAAAGTTGAAAGCTTAATGTAATGCATATTTGTCAGTCATATATTATTGTAAGGTGAGACACAGGTAAGATTTCTGAACTGAATTTCTGGATAAAAGGCAAAATTTATTATTAGCTATTTTGATTTATTCACTAAACATTTCAAATGCATTTATTAAAATCCATTAGAATCAGTACAAGTCTGTTCATTGTGAAAACAATTACATTTACTAAAAAAGTATGAATATGGTTATAATATGTATATTAGCTGTGAAAAAAAACAACAATATTCAATTTATTCAAATGTATGAGATTAAAACTAATTGGATTTATTGATGATAAATATAAACCTGGATATTTTGCATTTAAAACACATTCTGTTTATTAGTACTATTACAGAAATCTTACCTGTTGCATTTATGAATGACTGACAAATATGCATAAGATGAAGTTTATGTTAAAACTAATTGTATATGCAATTCAAACACATAAATGTTAAATGTGAGCCTAAATATTATTTTTATGTGTGTCGTTTGAGTAAAAAATGTGTAACAACTAGCCCTTATTTACGTATGTATTATGTTTATGTATACCAGATAATACATACAGAAAAAGGTCTTTGTCATTGCAGCAATGTAATGCTGACACATAAATGAAGTCTAAGTGTACTTACCCATCACTTGCGTATAAAAGTGATCCCACTTTGATTTAGTCACTAGATAAAACAGGACATCCTGTGTGCCATAAAAGAGAAAGTTCTTCAGTCTCTGCAAGAAATTCATTTCATCTGTATTCTCAGAGACGACTGCAGGGACGTAGGATGGCGGTGCCGGCATTTGGCCGCAGAGTCTCTCAACAGTGTTACCAAAGGTAAACCTGAGACTGAGGATTAACGGTAGGTTTAGCTTCTGAGCCAGCAGCTCCCCGCACATGAAAAGGGGGTCTGCAAGTAAAACGTCAAACTTCTCTTTTCTCCACTTGTCCAAAAGATCTTTTCTGGCAAAGAGTTCCCTGCACACAGCCTGAGTCTGTTCTCTGCCTAAGTCAATCATCTCCTTGACCTTCATTGAAGCCTTGATGATATTGTCATTGGGTAGATCATGAGTCCAGTATTTCAGCATCCTTTCCATATTCTCCAAGATGTCCTGCTTTGTGTGAGGCGCCTGTAGAATATCCACATTGTAGCCCACGGATGGGGTGGTGTTGACAGACGGAGTAGCTGTGTGGGTCACCACTGTGATATTGTGTCCTCTTGAGATCAGTGCATCTAGGATGACTTTTACATTGAGCCAGTGGCTGAATTCGGAAGGCCAGACGATGACCTTACCTCCTGACACACACTGCAGGTTCAGGTTCAACAGAAGTAACAGGAAAAGACTGGCACTTCCTCTGGGACTCATGACAGCAGTGAGCAACACTCTTTGTACAGACTGAACAAGCATGTGGAGGAGCTACTGCTGCCTGCACACGCAAAAGTTATGCAATCAAATAAAGGGGAAGGTCTTAAACGATCTGGGTGCTCTTTAGTTTCAAAGAAATTACAGGTATAGACTGCAGACTGAAGAGTTATAGACTGATTATTTGTAAGAGATAATGTACATCCAGCCGGTTGTTATCACAGAATAAACCCCAACAGGGTAATCAGGACTCCAGCACATAACAGAGGGCTCTTGAATCACCCTGAAGGGGTTTTATTCTGCCATAATAACCAGCTGGATGTACATTATCCTGCTTATTACATGTTTACTTGCTACATATATAAATAATTACACACAAAATATTGATTTGAGTTGAAACATTAGCTCTTTAAATGCAAAGTTTCACAAAGAAAAACAGTTCCCATCAAATAAGACGGACATTTAAGGCATAATATCACTAATTACACAGTCTTTCAACACATAAAGATGAAGACATAAAATGTTATATGAGAAGAAAGTGTTTTAAAATCTTACCTGTTTATTATCTTACATTTATTACAGTGTACAAAACAGCAAGTCCATGGTTTCATTTTACAGTAAATACAGTCAATAACTGAGGCACAAGATGATAGTGTGGCAGTGTGATGTGAGAGATGTGAATGAAGCACCAGCCTCAAATACCTGGATTGGTATTGGTGGTTTGTTATTTGGTGTTTCTAATGGTAATGGTTGTTATGTGGGGAACAATACACCTCAAAATGTCACAACTGACCAATCAGAATCAGGCATTCCAGAGAGCTGTGTAATAAAAGCAGATAATCGCACCATATTGGCCGATTAAAAAGTATAAAATAGATTAAGTCTCTCTATTAGCATACTGAAATTCTTAGTAAGTTTTTGGCTTGGTCTTTACATGGTTGCATATCTGCTTATATAATTATATTATTTAATTTATGAATTGCACAATATATATATATAAATATAATTTAATTAATATATTTTTTGATGCATTTAGCAGCGCTTTTCATCATTCAGGCTATACATTTTTTACCAGTATGTGTGTTCCCTATATACTGTTATATAGGGAATACTGTTATAATAATAATAATAATAATACTGTTATATATTTTATACTGTTTGTCTGGCCTTCAGAAGTAAATATTTCGAAACCACTTTAACCTTTAACTCCAGGGAACTGATTTTAAGACGGTTTGCATCTATCAGATCATCACATATGGTATTTTCTCGGCCAGCAGAAGGTCATATACTGTTTTTCTTTTGCCTTCATGTTTGTGTTTTCCAACAGCCAGGGGTAGATTTGGTGGTGACATCGTTGATTATCTTCTTGCGTAGGATCCCTGTCCAGCATCAAAACGGATGTTGTGAATACATGGAAACGGCACTTTTCATGACAACACGTTGAGGAACTTTGAGGCTCAAATCTTGTGAATCACGTCTGCTCATTATTTTTAAACATCTGCTTGTAATTACTATCAGTCCTGACATTTCTCATCAATTGTCGGCTTTTGCAACCAAAATTTTGTCTTTTATTCAGATAAATAGAACAAATATTATTTTAAGAATGAATGTTTGTTTATCATTCACAGGACTGTACATTCTAAAGGAAATGTTATAATAAAATGCAGGATGTCTAAACATTTAAAAAAACATCACTTTTCTGCAATAATATAAGATATAAAGTATCACTATCAGCACATTAAAAAAAGAAACACAGGTTTATTAGTCTTATTTTTAGTTATTGTAATTGTGTTGGAATACTGCTTTTATTTTTCATTGTCAAAAGCAATACATATAGGCATTTTGTTACCAAATTTGCTTCTGTAAATATGAATTCTTTTGTGGGTCACGGACAAAGTGTTTTTGCAGCAAAGAACACACACAACATTTACAAGCATAAAGACAAACAAAATATTCTAAGGGGGCTAAAATACATAATTCAGAAATTTTGTGTGAAATATTACACCACAGACAATTATTACAAGCAATTTGATTTTTATTATATAGACCTAAGGAATCAAAAAAATGTATCAACAAAAACAATTCGCTTGAAAATGAAAAATATATATATATATTTTAAATGTAGATTTATGAATGCAAAAAAAGTGAATAGTGACAAAATAATTACAAACTTAATATGAAAATATAATTTAGATAAAGAAGTTTAAGAATAAATAGGCCTAAACAATTCCAAAAGGGTAATTGGTTCTTCAAAGTGATGGCAAAGGGAGCTGTTGGGTGAAATACAGCTGCCGTTATTATACTTTGCAAGTTCATAGTTTAGTTACGAATAATTTTCAAGGAACTTCAACTAGAACACTGGATTTTTTCATTAAAAACGATTTTTTTTACAGCTACTACAAATGAAAAATATTAGTCAATAAATAGAGTTAAATTGCACAATCATAAATTGCACCAAAAAATAATAGCAGAGGGACAGGTAAAGAGAATTTTAGTCCATAAGCGAAGTGATTTTGAACCTTTTTGTTGTTGTTGTTGGTGATTTATAACCTTATTCAACACGTGTACGTACTACGTTGCGTCATCAGTGCGCGACCGCAGCATCAGAATGCTGACATGGCCGCGTCTATCGAGCTGAGACTCACTTTATGCATCTGTCTTGTTTTTATCCTGGGATTTTCTTCGGTCTCCGCTCTCATTGAGGGACTGTATTGCGGGATTCAAAGCTGTTATGACGTGCTGGGAGTTTCGCGTGACGCCAGTAAAGCTGAGATCGGACGCGCGTACCGCCAGCTGGCCCGGCGATATCACCCAGACAGATATCAGCCCGGAGAGAGCGACGACTCCCGCGAAACCGCGCAGCAAAACTTTCTGCTGGTCGCTACTGCTTACGAGACACTCAAGGTAAAACCAGACTTCCATGCTGTTCTTGTTAGGAGAATTAGAATTTCAGTGAAGTCAGAATGCGCGTTAATGGGATGCTGATCCCATGCAACCTACTGATTATTATTCCAACTAACCTTCCCAGCAAACAGAACGTTCCCCTAACGTTAGTTTTTGGTTCCCGTTTGGTTATTTTTTTGGGAACCAAATACTAACGTTAGGGGTACGTTCTTTTTAGGTTATATTTTTTGTAACCATAAAATAACGTTCCCAGAACGTTGCATGGTGGTTATGTTTAAATAACCTAAAAATAACTTCCAGAGAACGTTCCCTAATGGTTATTTTTAGGTTATTTTTTTGCAACCATAAAATAACGTTCTCAGAACGTTGCAGGGTGGTTATTTTTAAATAACCTAAAAATAACTTATACAGAACGTTCCCTAATGGTTATTCTCAGGTTATTTTTATATAATTTTTTATTTATAATAATTAATAATAATAATAATAATAAATGTATTTTATATAAACCGTAAGATAGTGAAAACGTTGCAGATGTTAATGTGTAATGACCTACAGAGCCCTGAAATTCGTTTAATGCAGCATTTATTAAAATACAGAAATTAGATCAATCAAAGCGCGATTTAAATTATAATATTAAGACAGGGTTAAGCTATAAGAAATCATAAATTCGTGGGTTTGTTTTATCTTCATTTACTGCGCGCCTCTGATCTGCACGCGCTTCTCCAGCACGCGCTTTCACCTGTCTTTCACAGAGAGCCGCGCGCTCTATATATATCTATCTATCTGTGAATAAATTTCATATTTTATGAACCATACATTGTGTTGAAGTCATTTTTATTTGGTGCTGAAGAAATGTAAAATCTGGGTACTCCGTAATCTTACATATTAATGGACAGATTTAATCTTATTTAATCTTACATATGATGGTTGATGTGCTCAGATTATTACTTAAACAATAGATAAAAACAAGATGTGGTTTTTATTATACTGATTAGGCATCCATACAGATAATTTCCATGCTATACTGGGTCACGAGTGTGCTGGATGATTACTGACGTACAGCGGGGTGATCATATCGGAGTAAAGAGGTTAGGGGAACGTTATAATAACGTTCTGGGAACCAAAAACTAACGTTAGGGGAACATTATAATAATGTTATGGGAACGTTAGAATAATGTTCTGGGAACCAAAAACTAAAGTTAGGGGAACTTTAGATTAACGTTAGAATACTGTTCTGGGAACCAAAAACGAACGTTATATTAACGTTAGAATAACGTTCTGGGAACGTTAAGAAACTTTCCTGGCTAAGCAAAAACAAACCATAAAAAACGTCCTGGGAACCAAAAATTGTTAGCTGGGTTACTAACTTCATTAGTAGTTTCCTTGGTGGTGCTTGAGATCCAATAATCCCAGGTTATCTCCGTTATTACAACAAACCTTCCCTGTCCAATCACTACTAACGTTACTGCAAAAGCGGTGGGGCAAACAATTGTATAATAGTGCATATGATTTAAAAAAAAAAAACGCATTACAACAAGATTATATACATTTATCATAAATCATGCATTTATTTATCTCGGTTAATGTTAATTTAATGAATATTGTCTCATAAAATCTTGTTGGTTCTCAAGGCTTTGTCAATCCAGCAACTTTTTGTTGCAATTTAAAGACATGGTACATACTCAAGCTGGGGACGCACTACATGACTAGCAGAAACATTCTAAGACTGACCTCAATACACTAAAAGACTGTTACCATCGACTGGAGCAGATTCTAGTCTTTGACAGTTAGAGAGGACATTATACGACTTTCTGCCGACTGCAAACAGAGACTGAGCCCAACTGGAACAGACCCGGTCCAACGGGGCACGATCCATCGTCAAGACCAAATTACATTCCTAATCGGCCTGACAATTGTGTAGTGTGTGTTCTTGGCTTTAGTCATAACAGCTAAATAGATCTCTAATATTGTGACTTTCAGGATGAAGAATTACGTAAGGACTATGACTACATGCTGGACCACCCAGAGGAATACTACAGCCACTACTACACCTACTACAGGAGAAGACTTGCTCCCAAAGTAGACGTTAGGATAGTGATTCTTGTAACTATTTGTGCAATTTCACTGTTTCAGGTAAGTACACCACTCATCACAGAATGTTCTGGTCATTGACAGCTGTTCATGCATTGCCATTGGCTTGAAAAGGACGACATACTGATGATGTTGTTATTCTTAATTATGATTTTTATTTTTATGTTCCAAGTTTTTTTTGGCGTCAGTGATTTTATTGAAAAAAAACAGCATATGCTGGTTAGGTATGTTTTGATGCTGGTTTGAGCTGGTTAAGCTGGTCCTTTGCTGGTTTATGCTGGTTTAAACTGGTCCTTAGATGGTCATGTGCTGGTCAGACCAGTTTAGAACCAGCACATGACCAGCTTAAACCAGCTAAGGACCAGCATAAACCAGCAAAGGACCAGGGGGGTATTAGATAGGATTCGGGATGTAGAATATGGTCATGCAGCTTTATAAGTACTAATAAACAGCCAATATGTTATTCAAAATATAAAGCAAAAAGTAGAAATTAATGCCTAAAAGCCAATAAGTGTTCCTCTGTTGCCTTGTACTGGTTATAATGGTGATTTGATGTTTTTTATAATTTTACATGGCCTAAGTGTTTGTTTACCACAAAGTAGTGTTGTCAAAAGACCCGGTACTTCGGTACCAAGTCGGTGCTAAAAAAATGAAAACATTACGGTACCAGGTTTTTTTAAGTACCGGTGGTACAGAGTACCTGGTCAACCCGGTTCTTGATGCACTATCTGAAAGGTGCGCAGATACGCTCTCTTCATAAAAGCACTGAGACATGGCGACCTCAAAATGAGGAAACACACCAAACTAACAAAACACTTTAAAGACAGACACCCGGATCAAATGAAAGAGTTCAAGCAGGTAAGTTTCATTTCATCCCATACATTGATTTATTTGTAGCTGCCCGCCACAATATCAAAACTCACCACGCTCAAATAGATTTTCCAAAAGACTTTGACTTCGTTGAATAAACATGAGCACTGCACGTGTCAAAGTCGAAACCCGGCGCGGGTGTTTTTATATCACTGTGTTTCTGAAGGAAACCGACTGTCTTCAGAAAATTATGGATGTCATTTTCATTTAATCTTGTCTGTAATGCTCAAGCAGCATTTGTGAGCGCAGCGCTTATTTGATTACAGCTGTTACCAGTAGGCCTGTCGCAATAATCAATATATCGACTTATCGCGCAATATATGTACATGACCTCAATAATGTTTGGTGACGCAATATATCGCCCATTATATTTACTTAAAAATTAATGTCACCATGTTTTGTACATTCCATTTGTGCCTGTGTCTTTTGCAGCTTCTCTTACATAATGTGATGTAGAGATGCTAGTTTAATCTGCAGATATGGTCTTGTTTAGGGATCTGTGTCTTTGTGCATACGGACATCTGACTGCTAAGTAGTGATTGTGTTTTTCAGCAATAGTGTGCGCCCTTAATTTACAGAGAAAAGAAAGTCAGGGAAAAATCTCCATACAAGTTATTTTTTTCTACTTGTTACTTTGCACTTTTTGTTAGAAAATGTTTATAGTCCAAAATGTTTTTATAGAAGTTTCTTTATTAACTGTTTAATGCTCCTATAACTTTTATTATGGTAAAAAAAACAGGAGGACATGATGATATTTACTATTTTTACACACCAGAGGCTTTTAAATGAATTGTGAATCTAAAATATGCGCGTTAGAGAATGTACAAATGGTTAACATTGTTTGTGTCATATCAGTCAGAAAAGCAGTTCTGGGCTTTTTTTTTTTTTTAAAGCTAACTTAGTTGTTATTCTTGGCTGAATAACTCTAGAAGGTTTTAAAAAGCCCTTTAAAATTAAATATGTACACAGTTTGGATTAAATTAAAGTATAGTCAAATTTTTTAATTAGCATGTTTTTGTGTTTTGCTTTGGTACTGAAATTGGTACCGAGAACCGTGGATTTTCACTGGTATTGGTACCGAATACTTAAATTTTGGTACCTTGAAAACACTACCACAAAGTATACTTTGGTCATCCCATTAAAAATAACAATCAAATTGGATCCTTTTAGAGCTTTAAAGTGCTGGAAATAGTTGTGTGAAATGCTTGAAAAGCATTGAAAAGTGCTTGAATATCTCTCTCTCGACTATTTCTGCCAGATCGCCATGGTTATAGTTAGCATTACTACTTCTGGTTTTCTGACGTCAGCGCTGTTTGATCTGTTTATATCAGAGAATTCTGAGAAGAATTTGAATGCTTCTCAGTACATCTCATAGCAGCATTATTCATTCTGCGGCAAATTTAAATGCTTCTCACTGGGTCTTGCAGCAATGTGCTGTAACAGTGTTGCGAAATCATCTTTGGTTCCTGAGTAAAGCTGTTCTGAGCTCGGACAAGTTTGTTTACATTGCGGTCCGAGCTGATAAACTGTCCACACTGCCAAAGTCCCTTTCAAGGAAAGTCTGTTCACTTGGCAACCGTATTTGCAACGCCTCCAGGCAGCTCATCCAAGACCAAGTCCTATCTAAATAAAAACTGCTTGCTGAACTCGCAATTAAATACAATTTTTCAAATCAGCACCAAAATCTCAAATGACCTGCACCACAAATGCTGTTCCTTATGCTCAAATAGTATTAAAAAAGCTTATTTTTCAAGACCAGTCACTACGCATGTGCAGTCTTAAGCGCGAGCATAGATATGACATATCTATGAGCGTGAGTCTCTCAGGTTTCTATGGGAACCAGAGCTTCTAACAGCAGCTGCAGTGATGCAATGACTTTACCAATCAGTGATTGGCTGTTTTATTCAGAAGGCAGGACTATTCTGCCATATTGTATGTTGCAGTTTCTCCCATTCATTTGTAATAGAAGTGAACCGTCTTTGTATTTCTGTAGTCTTTGGCGCTGCGCAGCTCAAATGTAGCACGGTTCTGTTACGCTTTTTTTTCGTTTGCCGTTTGATATTTCTCATATGCAACAGAAATGGCAGCACTTATGAGTTGAACAACGTGGTGGTCGTGCCAGTGTGACCGCACACAAAATTTAGTCGCACCAGCAGAAAAATTGGTCGAAAATGCGACCATTTGGTCACAGTATGGAGCCCTGAATTGTAAGGCCTAGAGACTTGAAACCAGGTGGAATGTCATTATTATTTCTCACTACTCCGTCTCTTAGACTCTCCAAGGACAGCCAATGGGAGTTCTACAATAAAGGCAAACATGTTGTGGGCTATAATATTTAAACCGTATGTCAGATTAGTGCTGGGCGGTATACCGGTTCATACCGAATTGAAATTCGTGTTTATTTTTCTTATGATATGAATTTTTAAAATACCGGTGTCGTTTAAATAATGTCCGGAACGCGTTTGGGGGGGGGGTC